CTTTTTCTTTTGCAGTGACAGTCTGCAGGAAGTGAGTTGATGGGTCCAGGTATAATTCATTCGTTCGTTCCTCCGATTGAAATATACAGCAATCCAGCACAAAACACCGCGAACAGTGTGGTAAAGAAAAAAAAACAAGCTTCGAAGAAAAAGAAAATGAGATCTCCGTCTTACCCTCAACAGCGAATTGCTAAATGAGTCCTTTGGATTAATACTGAGATCAGTGAACAATGCTGTCAATGTTGTTTCAGATAAATTCCTCATAATGCAAATCGAGCAACAACCGTACGTTGAAGTCAAGAAAACAACGGAACTCAATTGAGCGGGCAGCTATCTCTCGAACGCAAAACTATGTCCTCGCAACTTTGGAGTTGTTACTTGAGAAATTTCGTATTCCAGGTAAAATTAGCCTCAGTGCTATGGTTTACTCCCATCCAAAAGGCACAGCATTGATTAATCGCGATCGATACTCCTAGCTAATGTTTTGTGCGTCAGTCTTCTTGTGCTTTTGTCTCAAATTGGACACATGCCAGGAGCCCATGCTCATCCTGCGAAGTTTACTTGCCTCTTCGCTTTACGACTGTTGTTTCGAGAGATGACAAATACGAACGAGTCAAGGGACCGTTGCCAACTTTGCCACCAGGGCCCGGTTTTTCAAAGGCCGATTAAGATAACCCAGGATTAACATTAAGAATTTTGATTTCAGCTATGTAACTTTTCGTGAGGTTTTCTGTTTATAATGTTTGTCTTTCAGTTTTGAGCTTGACTAAGCTCAAACTACACAAAACGTGAGCAGTAAAAAACATTTTTATACAAGAAAAATTAATACTTCGCTTAACTTTTAATCCTGGGTTAGCGTTAACCGGCTTTCAAACAACCCGGCCCCGCAGAGTAATATACTTGATGAGGTGCACAGATGTCCCAAGCTCACTCCTCAAGAAAAAGAAGAATGAATTATCTGTCCATCCATATAAGAACGGTTTTCATTTGAGTGTCAAAATGTAATTGGTTTTGCGTCAACTACGCTACACGATTGGCTTATAACACTAGCGCCACTTTTTCTACCAATCATAAGTAGAACCAAAACCAATCGTAACTCTATCGCATACGTTTTCCTGCGTTTTGCGTTAGCGTTGTCACGTTCACTTAATCTCAAGAGTCATATTTTATAACGATTCAGAGAGCATTTCATTCCATCCCTTCTATGTTAGAATACTGGCCCTGTAGATGAAAGAAAACAAACACACAACGTCAGTGATTTCTCCATTTTTTTCATTATTATTTTTATTGCTGCAAAAACTGCAGTATTTTAACCCGACAAAGACAGCTCTTGTCCCAATGACTTATTTCATTCGGTACTGTTAACATCGTTGACGGGTAGTTGCCGTTGTCACTGCAGATAAAAAACAAGAAATAATCAATCATTCTAAGTAATTAATGATATCATTCGAAAACATGCTCTTGCTTTCTTGTCTCCTTGTGCTCTTGTGCTTAAAACGAAGAGAAAGAAGCGAAGGGAGAGAGAAGTGGGTTAACGAAATGATGCTAGTACATTTCTGGTAGGACGAAAAATTCTGCCAGCGTTTTACTGCTTTCAACTTAAAACTCGTCATCAAACGTTTGTGAACCCAATATAACAGCCCTTAGTTTTGTATTAAATCGGAGTGAAGTAGCTTTATGGGCGTCTAAGCCTCTTTGACTCACGGTTGCGCTGTCAAGTAGAAGTGTTCGGCGCTTCAGTCAAGGACGGTTATTTAAACGTTTGCTGTCATGTGCGGCGCTCATTCAAGTACGTGCTTATTTGAGTAACTACGATTCTTAAAAGTTAGTTTCATAATCAAATGTTTTTCTCGTTAAACGTCTTATCAGATCTTCTGCTAACAGTTGGTTTAACATTACAGCCAGGCTTTCTGTGAAAAACAAAGGGTCTTTGAAAGAAAAATATATTAATATTAATAGATTTAAAACTTACCTAAGTACCCTTGCGACAACAATTCTGATCCGGATAAGGGCAAGATCCAACACCGGGGTAGTCCCCACATGGAAAATTCATACAAAAGTCTTCCGGATTTTGTCGTCCGCAGGGCGGCAGTTGACGACCTTCCAATACTGCGTCATCGAATTCACCTGTTGAAACACCAATAGGGGTAGAACTTCCTAAATATAAACTTATATGCTGCACATCTCTTCGAATACTTTTCTTTTAATTTGCTTCGCTCATGTAATTTTTAAATCTGTCCCTCTCCTTTCTCAATAGAACTCTTGTGTCTTCTTGTAAACAATTCTTAGTGAGAAAGGATGAGTAATTTGATCGGGAGACTCCTCAATTTTACAATCAGTTCTAGCATTTGTTAAAATACCTTCTTGGGGATCCCATCGTCCACGAGCTCCCTCCAGCATCACCGCAGACAACAGAAGAATGAACGAAATAGTCTTCACGAGCGACATCTAATCCTTTGGGCATCGTTGGAAAGAGGGAAGAAAACAAAATACTGTAAAAAACCTGCTGTCGAGGGAAAACATATGTGGAATCTAGACCAATAGGGTAAAACTGAAGACCTTGCCATCGAATAACATCCTCTTCAGTCCTATCGCAAAGATGTACGGGAAAAGAATTTGCTC